TAATTTTGTAAAAGCCGTCCGGCGTTGATTATAATATAATATAATAATAAATATAATATAATATTTCAGCAGTTAATTTCACTTCATTGATATTAAAACTTAATTTTTACATTTTTTTAATAAAATAAACTTTCTATCATATTCGGTAGCCGGACAATTCACCGTATTTAATTCACCGCGGTACAATTCATCGTGGTTAAAATTTATCGTTGCATAATATATACGTACAATGTACAATAGTACATGGCAATAGTATGTATGTACATCGTACATACTATTAAGTCTCTTGAGTGATTAAAAGTCTAATAAAACGTGTTCACGTAAAACTCGTTTTTTCTCTAATTATCTTCGTGTTTGACGTATTATACTTAAATATTAAATTACGACTTTGATACAATTTAAATTTATCACCAATTATGGTTGTCTAATTGATAAAATCGAATTACCAAACCTAAAAGCTAAATTTAAAAATATGTCATACTTAAATGATAATTGTGTTATATCTATTGGCCGTTTTATACATTTTGTTGCAATCGTGTCCGGAACGTAAGTATATGTAATACGTCGTTAGTTTTTATTAATTAATTGTTAATAATTATGAATATATCATATATTAAAAGTGAATGAAGTAGAGATAAATTAACTTTTAAAGGGTACATTTATATATATGATAAACCAGGATTAAATAAATCAATATGGAAGTGTGAAGATTATCAAAAAATGAAATGCAAGGTACGTTAACATGCAAGAAATGATGAAATAATAAAAGAATAAATTCACAATCATGTTCCAGACTCTGTAAAAATTGTGGTGAATATAGCAATGAATAAATTAAAAGAAAAAGCAATCAAACGACCCGACTTGAGACCACGTGCAGTTATAGGTTTAATTTCGACATCAGTAAGTTCACTTATCTAAAATATATTTTAAACGAACGATAAAAACGTTCTATACTGTAACTGTTATACTTTTATAAATTCTATAGTTGACAAGTTCAGCAGCAGCGCATCTACCAAAATTAACTTCAATTAAACGGACGTTTGGAGGATAAGAAATGAGGAAGAGACCACCTAACTCAAAATCACTTATTGATTTAGTGATACCCCAAAAGTATCAGTTAACAAACGATGAACATCCATTTTTGTTGCATGATAGTGGCCCAGGAGAAGACCGAATACTTTTATTTTCGACCAAAAGAAATGTACGTCTTATTAAAAACTGTAAGCATTGGTATGCAGATGGAACATTTTTGACATCATCTTCACTGTTTACACAAATATATGTAGTAACATTTTTATTAAACTAAAGTTAGTTTAAACTTATATTTAAATAAAAGGTTAACAAACAAAAAATTCTTATCGTAGATCTCGGTTAATAATAACTATTATTATAAAGATTAGTCGTCCCGAACAATCAAAATTTCGTGTAATTAACGTGTAAGTAATAGTATAATACTAATTTCAGTGTATATTAATGTTATTTTAATTTTGATTTTGATTAAACATTACATTATCAATTATAAATATGAAAAACACAATAGATATATTTTATGAAAAGTTTAATTTTTGTAAATGTTTGAGCGATTGTATCAGAGCTAAAGAAAAAATAAACAGTGAATTGATTATGGGATGTTAAATGGATTTGATGTAATTAGTTTTATAGATAGGCATAAATTATTTAATCCATCAATTTTCAGTATGCAAAGAAAAAACCGTATCAAAATGAACGATTTTTTTTTTCCGACAGGTATTAATTGCTGCTTTCAAATGAAATTTTCAACAGTTGTGGATAAAAAAAAAGGATTTTATCTTTTATTAGATTATTGTTTATGATTATGGAGCAATCTGGGACTTGTGGTGTAAATTTTTACCTTTGTATAATACCCCCCCCCTTGCCCATAATCATAAGACCCAATATCTGTCAATAGAATTAAGTTAACAAAATACAGTTCACTTTATTAATTGCCTAAATCAGCATCAAAATATCATATCATATATAATAATATGTTTTTGTATAACCCAATAAATTCCATTTGTTTTGAGTTATATTTCTTGTATTGTTCTTTAGTTGTTGATTATTTATTTTATTACTTTAATAAATACAAAATAAGTAGTTACGTAGAACGCCCTATTCTGATGTAGTCTCCTTATAGCCTATGAATATAAAAATATTTGGTAGAGGGGGTGAGGGCATTAAAAGTGACTCTTGGCACCGGGCGCTAATTTTACTAGGCACGGCCTTGACTACAAGTAAAAAATAATTTTTAAACTAGCAAATTTATTTTAACCATAATTAATTTATTGTGAAATCGGTATCGCAATTATTAGTTAGCAAATAACCGTAATGGAACGTTTCATAGACAATGAGACCAGACACAGGAGCCGAACCGAGAAGAACCGGTTCTGGAACCGTAAATATTAACCTTTATGTTGACGTATTAAGTACCGGAACCGAACAGTAATTTTTAAATTATGAAGATAATTTTAGGTTCCAAAAATAAAATTGATTTATTGAGCAAAACTAATTAAAAAAAAAATTAATTATCAATACTTTATTTAAAAATACTCAGAGATCCAGTATCGTAATATTTATACGTAGAACTATACAAAATTCGCATTACCTATTTAGTATTATTATACTTCTGAAGAGCTTATTATATATATATATATATATATATTTATATCACAAAATAGTACCTATAATACGGAAATGTTTTTCCAAGTTTACACCATAATCGGAATCAATATCCTCGAAATAAATTGATGATAATAATAAACTGCCCACTAGTGTATTATTATGGAAAAACGATGCATAAGTGAAACATTCGATCAATCGAAAACAATATATTGGCGACTGAAATTTTCGATTTTATTACAGTATCACTGTGGTTTGTGTACTTCATTAGGAGTTACGTTGACTGGCAGCAATATATCGAGCTTTAGTAGATGAAAGGGTGACATTTGGACTTTTCAAGAGCATAAAACGACGTATTAAAAATTTAACTTTCGATGACATTTAACGAATACCTGTGAAAATTATAAATTTCGATCGGCATTGTATTGAGAAGTAGAAAATTTATCGAAATCATGTTAGCACGCAGTGTTTGAGTAAAGTTCTGACGGTAATAAGTAATTCGTTTCGGCAGGGCTGGCGTTCCCTATTGCGAGACCCTGGGTAAAACTTATTTTACCCACAACAATAATCACCTATAGCCTGTAGGCCGCAATTAAAGGCGATAACATGTAATTAAACTCAGTGATAGCTGCACGCGATATCGGATAATCAGTGATTAAATTTATGAAATGCGATAAAATAAATCTCCCATGTTTCCCGGTTTCCATACTGTGCGGCGTGCCGTACAGGTTGTCGTTGGTGCATACATGACATTTAAAATAAAATGTTGTTTTGTTAATTGGTTTATTACATGTCAATGGATTTCTCTAGAAATTGAACTCGCCAGGCAATCTACACATTTCACGTTTTGTTTTATGAGATTTTCGTACAAAATATTTTTCAATGAAAATGTTTAGCGTGAGGCCCTTGAAGGTGCGAGACCCTGGACTAATTCCCCGTTTTGCCTCCTCCTAATCCCCTGCGTTTTGGGCGGATGCGTTTCCGCAGCCGTGTTTTCCGTACGACGGCTTTTCTGAAGGGCTTACGTGCGCGGACGGGTTCGACTGTTACGGTGCAATGAAGACGGTCGTCGCGTGTCATAAGGTATACGCATTACCTATGTTGTCACCTATACGCGTTTCGTTGCCGGCCGCAGCCGTCCGGCGACAACCCTTCGACCCCGAATTAATAATTCAAATTTTATATTCATAAAAATGTATTGGGGGAGAGGTTGAAGAAACATACATTTTTCAGCCATATTAAGAAGTATAGAGCTACCAAATTATTGGAAATATTGTAATTCCATTGAGAATTATGTGTGTATTGACGTTAAACTTCAAACATTTGATGTGGAACACATACAACGTATGTCGACATACGTGAATATTTACGACTGAATAAAACGGACTGATAATAAACTATATTATATAGTGATAATGCACTTTAAATTTTAATTACATAAAATTTTCTTATCTTCGAAATACTTGCTTTCATAATTTCAAACGTTTCGTAAATTTATATCGTAAGAAATTAAATCGTATTTATTTTATTTTTTTTTATTTCGTTTGAACGAATATCTCTTAAATTTATTAAAATCGGTACATTTGTGTTTTATTTTTTATCACCGAGTATTTTACTACTTAGTCAATAACAGTGCTGGTCCGACGGTTTTTGGGGCCCGGTGCAGAATTTTACGGGATCCCATACAAATATATTAATTTATTAATTGTTTATAGAAATATATGTTTTCTCATATTATTATATAACTAAATATATACTATAACTGTATTTCGAACTGTTGTCGACGATAAACAATTTTACAAGCTATGCGTAATTGGTATCATCTTAATTTTCATCGATAACAACCCGTTTACTGAGAAGACCACATGACTACGCGGGTTGCGATTTGCATACTGGGACTCAAGACCGTAACTGGAAAAAAATTTGGGGGGGGGTCTAACATTATTATTTAATACAATTTATAGTTAATAAACTATATTCACCGCTAAAATGTTTCTACTTTTGAAAATTTTGGGGGGGTCCGGACCCCTGGAATTTTTTACCTCATAAGGGCTCGTATAAATATAATACGGTGATTGAGATGCCACAACGTGTGTATATCAGTAAATCAATTCTATGTAAAAGAAATCGAAATTACGATAATGCAGCAGTACCGTACGTCGCTTCGCTTGCCCATCCCTCCTTAGGGACTGGTCAATAATTAACATTGTTGAAATTAGATCAATGAAAAAATCAATTTTGAAATTTTGTTATAATTTGTTACTATGGTTACTTTGGTGGTATTATGTAATTCAATTATTTTCTAAACACTTTTAAATTTTTTTATAAAATATGAATGAATTTAAATAGTATAAAAAAGTGACATCATGAGTGTTATGCCAAAGTGTGAACCAGAAACCACAAATGAAGTTGAAATCGAAATGTTGGATGTGAATGTCCTCAAACGATGTGGAGATCTAATTTTTAATTTGTTTAGACGGTTGAAAAATGACGAATTATTGGACAGCAATAGTAGTTGTAGTTTATCTACTAATATGTCTTTCTGCAGCGCAGGTGATACTTATATGGAATTGATCATGATGAAAACATTCGATCAGCTGTACGATATGATGTCGCATGATTTGGAAAAGGCTGACAGTAGTTATATGGTAGCACCAAAACTGCATTTGTATGATGACCTCAATGATTTCATGAGGCATGACCAGTTGCATCAAATAAACAGGTATAGAGTGATCGATTTAAATATTACAATTTATTTGTAGTTAAAATAGATACGCTGCATTGAAGTTCCAACCGGGAAATGTATTGTAAAAAAAAAAAAAATAAAAATAAAAATATGATGACTATTACAATTTAAAATTTCAATTTTATTTGGAATAAAAGTCTATGATTTTTTTTTCTTATTTTTGAAATTAATTTGGTCATTTTATACATTTTTGATATTTATTATTGCATTTTTATATGTATTGACAAGTATTTGTAAAAACTATATTTTATAGTTATAAATTATTCACTTGAAATATTTTCAATTTGAGTTTGTGAGGAGGAGGAGGTATTGTGGTGTCTAAGGTAATACAAAACAACACAATATGTAATCATATTATGAATGCCATGTAAATCGCAATTTTTTTTGTTTTCGTGCCTACAATTTTATCGTTTGATCTAAGTTACTAGGAAATTGAAAACAAATATACACCATTTAAAGTTTTCACATAATAATAGTGAAAAGTTTATGAAATCCATAATCTCAATTATTGAAATAGATTAGAATCAGCGAACCGATAATTCAATAATTAAGCAACATAAACGATGTTTAACGACAAGTGCCAATATTATACGAGTACTTATAGTTCTCATGACTTGTGTACGATATTTATGATTAGGGCCGGGATTTTAATGCTCTAAAACAGGGGTCTCCAAACTACGGCCCGCGGGCCGGATACGGCCCACGAACAAGTTTTAAATGGCCCTAAGCACCCATAAGACGGTAAATAAAATATAGATATCTAAACATATGTGTAATTTAAAAAGTCGTTATCGCGGACATGTATCATAATTTATGACGACAGATATTACAATTTCATTTTATATTTTTAGTTTTAACGTCGATAACGGAGAGATTAGTCACATAGACGAGCGGTACGACGAAATCATTTCATAACGTTTGTACAGTTACATGTCTAAGTTTACAGTGCCTTTATTATAAATATTATTCTTTACCTATTAATTCACCAATTCGACATGTCAGGAAGAGGATTGAAAAGGAAAATAGATTCAGAATGTCGTGTTTTCAATGAAAAGTGGTCGTTGGATTATTCGTAATTTATTCAGTTGACAAAATAATTTGTACTTCTGTACTTAAGGAGCACAATATTCGAAGGCATTATGAAACGAAACATAAGACAACTTTTTCAAAATTTACTGAGAAATTACGGTTAGATAAATTGCTTCAAAATAATTTTTCATCACAACAATTATTATTTAAAAAACAAAAAAATATTAATGAAGCTGCTACAAAGGCTAGTTTTCGTATTTCACATCTATTGGCAAAAAGAGGAAAAACGTTTTCTGATGGTAGTTTAATAAAAGAATGTATAAATCAAGCAGTTGAAGAAATTTTTCTAGAAAGAATTGATACTTTTAAAAATATTATCCTTTCTGCTACAGTTACCGGTAGAATTATTAAAATTACAATATATATATATATATATTATTATCATTTAAATTTATACCAATTATATTTAAGTATATTGTAGACAATATTTTATAAAAAGATTTAAAGTTAGCTTATATTTATATACCTATATTTTCATAAAATTAAAAATTATATGTGTTAATAAACTTTTGGCCCGCTAAGAGCATTTGATATTTTTTTTGGACCTTCAATAAAACAGTTTGGAGACCCTGCTCTAAAAAATAGCAAAAAATGCATAGAAAAATGTATTTATTTGTAGTTTAAAAATGATATTATTAGAATAATGTTACATAACATATTTAATTATATTTATTTAATATATTAATAACTAAATAGGTAGTTATTTGTTTAATATTTAAATTTAATTTATTTCCTAACTTGCTGTTATGTTCTTCATTGGACTCTCGTAAATAGAAAACTTTCTTTTATTTTTAAATAGATAAATAGGTAAATGGTTCGTGTTTATTAGTTTATCAATTTAATAGATTTCATACTAAACGTGCAAGCAAATGTCAAAACACATTATTGAATACCCTAATACATAAAGAATTATAGATAAATTCTGAAAAATGCTATAAAAACTACAATATATGCCCTAAAATTGCATATAAAGTTAAATTTGTCATAAAAGGCGAAAAATACATAGTAAAAACTACATTAAATGAATCAGTATTACTCGAAACATGTTTTCTTCTCACGGACCTATGCGTTTGGATATCAGAAAAAAAAGATGCGTTTGCAACAAAATATCAGCCCTATTTATGATATTATCGTTTTCCATGATTACTTGAATGTGTTCTTTTAATTTACATATCGTTATTAATAACAATACATTTATTCATCTACAAACTATTCTAATTGCATTGCGTTTTTTTAAACGTTATTCTTCACGTCCCGCGGACGCAATATAGTTCAACAGACTGGTCATGCTACAATTTTTTTTCGGTCCGTTTCAATCCGTACGCGGTTGTTATAGTGGCGTCATTTTGGGGGAGGAGAGGGGCCCACTCGTGCCATTGGTCACACCCTAGAGTTAAGCTATTCCGTAGTCGGCAATATATAATTACGTGTTTTATAAAACCGTTGACGTGTTGTAAATCAACAAAAATGATACGCGTACCGTACGCGAGTACAAACCGTCACATTTCAAATCCTAACCAAACCGACGTGAACCGGAATTTCGGTTCTGTCCTGGCCTAGAAAAAAAAACACTTAAATGACGCCATTGGGTCATGTTATTAAGAACAGACGGTGGTAGGGAAAGAGAAAAAAAAATCAAACATCGGCATTGTTTCGCGTTGCGGCAGATACGTGTTCGGAAACGGACCGCCGAGCGACGATTGGGAGGCCGACGGTAAGAGCGGTCTGACGGCGGTCCGGACATGGCGGGAACAGTTCGACGACGGTGCCCGAGTGCCGAACGGTCTGATCGAAATCTACAGAACGGTAGCCGACGGCCGGCACCACGGACCCCGCGACGTGGCAATGGTCGCGTTCGCTGTCTTCGGATTCGTGCTGTACGTATAAAGGTCATACAGTGAAACCACGTTCCGACAACCAGATGGGGTTTAAGGGCGCTGGTTCTCATCACTAGATAGGGTCCATAGTTTGTGGATTAAACACTACCTTGTCGTTGGAGAGACAGGCGAAATATTCAGAATACGCTTGCCCCAACAGTAAACTTGCACGCATGGGCGCGGTTCGGGGTGGCGGCTTCCACCTACAAGAGCCGTTCGCGTAAAATGCGACTCATGCTTCGAGCCGCGATCATAATTTACCCCAAAGCTCTTGGAGCGGTGGCTGGTCGGGCGGTGGACTACCGACTCGTCGTCTGGGGGGTTCGTTCTTCGTCCCCGGGTGGCGGCCGACACGTCTCACGTAAGCCGCGGTCAACGCTGTCTCATCCCGGGGCCAAAAGCGGTACGGGCAACTGACCGTATCATGATGGTGTCTGTCGCTGAGTCCTGTGCAAGTCGGTAGCTGCCGGGGTAACGTCCCGGCGGTGTGTTATGTCCAACCAACAACCAACGGTAAGTCTACGATGATTGGTACGTCGGGAAGTGTGGTTATCAAAGGTTACCGTATGTCCTACGCGGTAGCCACCACGCTTAGTCCACTCGCGGACTGGGATTGGATTCGACGAGGTTTACGGAATCACTGGACAGTTACCGGGCTCGGACCGTCCGCTCGGGGTCCCCGTTGGGGATTAATTAGGTACGGAAGTCGGCAGTCCGGCGGGGAGCAGCGCGCCTCTGCCCGGGTCGAGAAATCGTACCAATCTTCGGCTGCGTCCCTTGAGTAACGCCACGCGTTAACAATAGAAGCGTAGTGCGCGAGCTCGGCTTCGGCCAAAACCTGAGAATCTGTACGTGTATGAGCGCGCTCATGTTCGCGCGCTACCGAATTTCAACTATTCAAACGTCGCGCGCGTACCGGCATCAGCGTCGGGTCCGATGCACCGTGGCTTCGACCTCCGAAACAACAATCTGAAATCGAAATCGTACGTTTCAATTTTTATTCATTTGTTTCCGTTGCTTTTCCGTGCTCTTTTTCCCACGTCCATTCGTTGTGATTTCATTCGACAACCCTCAACGGTGAGTGTACACAAACGCGTGTGAACGTATATTCAAAAGCGGCGCACGAAAAATGCTTTCGATCGGTACCCGCACGCCTAACCTCCCGATATTCGCCTGATCCGGCGCTGACACCTGTTGAACATGTACCCGTGCGCGACGTTCACGAACCCGTTCGCCGCGTCACGTTGGTGCGACACTCACCGGGGCACGTTTTTCGTTTCCGAAGCGGATACGACGTGGCGGCCGACTTGGAGATCGCGTACATGTATCGCGACATTGAGGCGTGCCACGAGCCGGCGACGTTTCGACGCGTGCACAACGCGGTGTCGCGGCGCGTCCGGATGTTTTTGGACGAGTGGGACGCGCCCGCTGAACTCGTCGAACATTTCGACGCCGCTGTGGCCGGGAACGCGGACGCGGTGGCCGCGTGCCGGTGGACGTTCGACCTGTTGACCGAGCGGCCCGGCGCCGTCGAGGAAATCGGCCGCTGCGACATATTCACCGGCCATCCTGGGCACTACGTCGCGCGGCTTCGGACGTTCTACGGCTGGGTGTCGCGACAGGTGTACACGCAGCTCAGGTACACGACTGACCGACGAACCCGATTCGCCCGGAGCTCACCGATTCGGTTCGGCGTTTAAACAAACAGTTTTCACGTGGAAACAGGTCGGAATGTTATTGTATTTGTCAAGTACGACCAGGGCCGTAGCAAGGGGAGGGGGCTAGTGGTGCCTACGCCCCAGGCTCGATTCCCGGAAGGGTGCAGAAACGAAAAATTTGAAATTTAATTGTTCCTTATAAGTAAAAGCAATATTACATGTTTATGTAATTACTTATACGAGTATATCTTATAAATATTATTATGTTATACCTATAAACCTACTTATTATTATTATGTATATTTATATTCTAATAAGTTATTGATTTAAACAAAATTAAATAACGCTTACATAATTATATGAAAATATCATTACTTGTATTACATCTATTAAAAGTATTCAGTTTTTTGTGAGTTTTTTTTATAAATTAAAATACTTAAGGGCGAATTTTGAAGTTTCCCCCCGGGCGCAATATTTGGTTGCTACGGCCCTGAATACGACCGGTTTCGAATTAAAAGTATCTTCAGTTACTCCGATGTAAAGTTAAGGAAAATCGCGACTTCACAAGTACAATAGTATTCCGAGCTGAGCATTTTTTTATTTGTTTTTATGTGTAAATTATTTATTAATTTATCGATTTATGAGTATTTACTTATTTATTTATTTATATAATACGGATCAATGTCCAATATTAACCATTTATTAATTTTTAAATTTAAATTTAACTTTTATAATTCGGTTCAAACCATTCCTCGTTTCCAGCACTTCGTACACGGAAGTGTGTTCGCCATTTATCTTAAACTTGTAATTTACAGGTTTTATTGTCGTAGTGATCGGACTGAACTCGAACGTTATTGTTTTTAAAATCGGACTCAATTAGTTGTTTATCTTTATCATAAATATTATCTGAGACCTAACTCGGATACGCCCAATCATCGACTCGTACGTTAAATATAATTTCATGATACACTTTAGGTTGAAGAACAATATAATATTTAAATTGCATATAGTTGATGATTTACACCGTTGTGATGAAAAAAAAAAAACCAAATGTATTTTGCGTAACTCATCGTCTATAAACACGTTTATCGAAAGAAAACACTGCACTAAATGTTAAAAATAATCAATTCTCTGGTAATTTGAATATAACCAGTTTTTTCTAGAATCATTAGGTGTAGTATTGATATCTGATGACACAGCAGTAGTACGTCTGTTGGACGTGTTTTTAGGTACTCTTTTTTAAAAACTAATCCAATTCCATGCAGGTAGCTACTTAAAAGAAATATATCATATATGTTTATATAAAGTGTATTTATTAAATATATTATAAGAATAAAATATTTTTTAAAGTTTTGTTTTAAGTTCTCTCGCATATTTTTAGCGACGGATGCAAGCGATCTTCATTGTTGGACGATTACCATTTAAAGTGTTTGTTCGAAATGACCGATTTGAACTTATTATTCGATGACATCTATGATGGTATGTTGCGACATTTCATGACATTTCTCAACGAACAAAAGTGTCCAGCAACGTTTATGGAAACTTTTCGCGCCATCTGCGACAACGAAAAGTTTAAGAATATAATTCGGTTTTTCGTTCATTGGCATACCGAACGCATCTTTCACAGTAGCCCAGATAATTGTTTGGATTCAAATCAAACATTTTCGGATAGCTCGAGTCAGAGTGAAATCGAAGAAATAGAGTAAGTAATATTACGGGATAAACAAAATAAAATTTAAAGGAAATTAACTATCCGATGAAAATATTAAAAACAAATAAGAAATGTTAGTACCGACGTGCATGTGTACCTAATATTTATTAGTATGTTATACTACCTATTGTTAAAATAATATTTTAGATATTATTAATTATATTAGTATTTATTCTAATATTAACATTAATTAATACATGTTAATTTTTTTTTCCAGTGTTTCACAAAACGTCTCGGTCAACGATTAACTTATTCAAAATATATAAGACATATTGCGTTTTTTTTTTTAATAAAATTCTAATGACCGAAAACAATAATTTCCAGTTGTTTGTGTTTAATTAATTATTTTTTTAATTACTCTTAGTTATGGCTAGGTAACATATGAATGGAATTGCAACAATATCGTAAGTTCACTAACTGAAAATTTATAAGGTTAGACCAAAAAAACACGACTCTATTCCATTTTGCATTTTGAGAAAATATTTTTGAGTCTTTCTCCCTCTTTATCCCTCTACACATATACAATAATACCAAAAGTGGGCATTAACTAGTTAAAAAGTTAAACATTTCTTAACTTTTTAACTTAAATAGTTTAATTGGCAGTTGAAATAACTTAGCATTTCATAGTTGATTTAAAAATTATCTATCAAATTAAAAATATTTGAAATTTTTAATTTATACGTAAATATTAATATAAAAATTAAATAATCATGTAAAGTGAAATTGTCGCATACTCTGTACATTGGGTGTCATATTAGATTTTGTAGGTTGGGATTACATCTTTGGCTATTGGGTTCTGGTCTTGGATAGAGAATGTTATGTATAAAGAATTTTAAGTATAAAGATAAATAAATACGATAGTAAGTGGCCACTTGATGTACAATGTCATAGTATTTTTCAAACATTTCAGTTCCACTGCATTATGATAAAAAAATTCAACAAAATTGTTTATTATAAATTAGGAAATTAGATCTTACTAAAGAACGCAGTCACTTTTTATGTGATGTACATACTAATTGAAAGAAGTAGATTAACTTTTTTAAATCGAGTTAAATTTAAGAATTGTTAACTGTTAACTTATCGATCAAGTGTCCACTTAACTTGAGTTTAATTATTTTCATTAACTTGCCCACCTTTGAATGATACTATAAGATGACTGATTATTGGATATTAAAATTCTAAGTCGACTTTAACGAAGAATGAATAATGAAAAGCTATCTGTTTGGGCCGGGTGCATTAATATCGCATATGATGGACACCGATTTCTTCGCGCACTGCACTTTTCGATTCACTACCGATCGACTAAAATGTATAAATGTAGTGTGTCGTGCTCTTATAAATTAACTAGGAGTGGGTGAGTTCACCGTACAATGACTTATGAGCTATGTAGTGGTATAGTATATGAATCGCTAAATGCAGAAAGGGCACATGTCCAATATTTTACAAAAATCACTTTATTGCATAATCCAATTTAATATTGATAAATACATGGTTTTGTGCAGACAAGGCACATATCCTATTAAATAGATCCCCGTTAAAAATAATTTAAAATTTCGTTAATTGCAGAAAAGGCACATGTCCTGGACATGTAACCTTTTTGCATCAAAATTATACTTTAGTAATATTATCAGGCCTAAACTTCGTGAAATTACTTTATTGTATGACATGAAATATTGTTCTATTTATAAATTTAATTTTTTATAATTGTTTATCAGTAAATAAAGATTATAATGGGAAAACGTTGCTTTACCTAATTATAAAATAAAATGATTATCAGTGAATAAAATAAATATTGTACTGGTACGATCTTGTACGATCATAACGTGTATAACTTTAAAATATGAGTTCAGGCGACGAATGTATTAGTCCTCTCAAAAGAAAAAAAGGTGTTTCTAACAGTGATAAATATAAAAGAAATATTATTAAGCAAGCAAAAATTGAAGGGAAAAAACATACAAACTGGATTGGAAAAATAGTTGCTACAAAGAATGATCCTTCATTAATACTTAAAGAATGGTAATTATATAATATTTAGTTTGTTTTATTCGTTATTAATAAGTAGTAGCTTTTATATTTTTACAATAATATTTTCGATTTAAAGTTGTTCAAAAAAATGTCTCAAAGACATTCAACAAGAAAAACTTGAAAATACAATGAAAATGTTTTATGAAATGCATTCTAAAAATGAACAAGACCTTCATCTTCAACGAACAATAGAAATAAAAGAAATTACAAGAAAACGAAAACGAATAGAAACAGAAGAAGGAAAAGAAAAACCGAAATCCAAAAGTGTTCAGTATTTTTTAATAGTAGATGGACAGCGTATTCAAGTATGTAAGAAAGCTTTCATTAACGTTTATAATATTTCTATTAAAAAAATTAGACGGCTGGTCGATTTGTTAGAAAATATTATTACCCCAGTTGATATGAGAAGCAAAAATATTAGTGCTAATACTATGCCATATGAGTATTGTCAAAAAATACATGAACATATACTGAGTTTTCCAACTAAAGATACTCATTACACAACACGATTGAAAAATTATTTGAACCCTAAATTAAATGTTAAAACTATGCACACAATGTTTTTAGAAAAGTATCCAGAATTAGAAGGGAAAATAAAATATCAATATTATTGGGAGTATTTTAAGAATAATTTTTCATTAAGCTTTGGTGCTCCAGTCAAAGATGCTTGTTCAAAATGCGAAGAATTAAATACAAAAATAATGAGTAAAGATTTAAATGATGTTGCAAAAAGAGTTGCTGCTGCGGAATTACTAGTTCATAAACGTAGAAGCAAAAAATTTTATAATAATATTAAAAAAACAATAGAGATTTCTCAACAGAATAAAAAAGTGTTAGGTCTTTGCTTTGATTTTATGGCTGTAGTTGACTTACCTAAAATACCGGTGCAGGAAGTATATTATTATCGTCAATTATCTGTCAATACTTTTGGTATTCATAATTTAAATACGAATAATTTATTTTGTTATGTTTATCATGAGGCAACAGCAAGAAAAACGCCAAATGATTTATGCTCTTTTTTGGTTCACCATATTAATAATTTTGTTGATGATAATGTTGAGGAATTGCATTTGTTTTGTGACAATTGTGCTGGGCAAAACAAAAACCATGCATTACTCAGAATGATTATGGCTCTAGTTGAAATTAAAAAATTAAAAAAAGTTCAGGTGTTTTTTCCACAAAGAGGACACTCGTTTTTGCCGTGTGATCGTGACTTTGCATTGATAAAAAAACAACTGAACAGAGTGGATCGTCTATACACTTTAGAAGACTGTATAGAACTTATTTTAAAATCATCAAGAAACCCAGAAAAATTTTCAGTGTTTCTAGTTGATAAAAGTATGATTTATGACTATCAAATGTGGTTTCCACAATCTTATAATAAAAATACTAACGCATTAGAATGTTTAAGCCGTAATAAAACATTGAAACAACGTCGTACAATAGAAAAATTTTTAATTTCTAAGTACCATTATTTTGAATGTGTATCGGAAAAATGTGGAATAATTGAGGCAAGTGAATTTATTGACGGAATAATATCAAACCATTTCAAATTGAGAAAAAACAATGCAATGCCCATACAACTCCCAAAAACACTAGTTTATACTTCAAGCTTACCAATTCTTGAAAGCAAAATGAAAGATTTGAAGCAACTAGCGAAATATATTCCGGAGCCAGCATTGCAATCATTTTGGAATTATATATTTTCGTTACAAACTAAGACTGTTACTAACCTCAAGCAAGGCAAAATAGAACATAAGATATTTATATAATTAAATTTCTAATTATTAAAAATATATCAAATATTTTTGACTCAATATTAGTATATAATCTACTGTATATTATTTAATCATGTCAATTTAACTTTTATGCATATTAAAGCTACTTATTTATAAGAAAACGGTTATTTTTGAAATATAAATGGTAATTTGAAGCATAAACGGCACATGTCCACAACCTTAAAGTCCTTCAGATACCTACAGTTAGATTATATTTCTTTAAGTGATTGTAGAAATATGTATACCATGTCTTTAACTATATTATTCTATAACATACAATTTGTAATTCAATTTTTTTCAAATATATTAAGTTTTTTGTGTTTCCTGAAAAAATGTAAAACTTGGACATGTGTCCTTTCTGCATTTAGCGATTCATATACATGTGTCAATGCATTCCTTCTAAGACTTGTATTTTAAAATGATATACTTATTATTATTTTTATATTTATATGTAAGAAATTTTTTTTTTTCAGTGAAAATAATTGTTTTTAAAATTTAGGCCCGGGCGCCCAACTTATCGTGTTGTTTAGTATAAACCGTTTTGCAACCCGTATTATACTCGTATTTAGAGCCACGGACTAAGATAATATATCTTATGTCAACTATAAAAAAAGATAAAATATTATAGGTACACAAGGTGTGAAGAATGTTATGATAATATCAGGAAATCTGAATTGTAAGGCATCCCTCCATTTATCTTGGGCCATTTCGACCACTGACTTGTGTGTATAGTGATTACTTAAAAACTATGAAAAATTGGTTACTCGAATAATTGTTGTCATGTAAAAAATAATTATCTGAATAGTTATTACACGCATAAGATTCGTAGAAATATATAACAAAATACAGATGGATTAATAATCAGCCTTTTTGGCCCAACACGGGAATTGTGTGTACGAACAAAAGTAAGACCTAGGGATTAAGTCGGACCACAATCTAGGTCAGCGGGTAACAATAAATATAAGAAATTGAAATTCACTAACATGAATAAATAAGTTACAAGAAGATAATATTTAAAGCTTTCCACCGATAGCGATTGGCGTACACGTTTTAACAACGAGAATAACAATACATTTGGCGATTTGCGTGCGTACTGTATAATATTTAAGAGAATCACACTAGTGGCGACTAGTACTTAATACCTCTATTATAATAATTTCACGACGATTCGCGTCTACGAAGAATATAATAGTAACAAAAATCACACTACGACTGTAAAATCTCGAGTCTCAGCAATTAGCATACACGAATTGCAATCGTAATAAAAGTGGAACTGTGGTGCGCACACGATCGCTAGAATGTAATAACTAAAACACCATGTCGACGGACGGTGGGTTCGCACTCGACACGGAACAACGTGTTGTAATAATAGTACACGGAAACATTGGCCTTTTACGCAGCTCGTGATGTACACGAAAAACAGAAAGACGGATATTAAAATCCTC